TTTATATTTGAACACTATATGTATCCTATATAATATTGAAATAACAAACATTATTTAACGATTCATTTTTGACAATATCGTGAAAATTACATTGAATTTATTTAGTTTAAAATAATGTGGTACGTAATAACTAATAAACTCATTTTTTTTATAATTTTGATTTAGACAACTTTTATAATTATGCTCACATTTGTTATTCTACAAATGCACTACTTTATTATTTACATTTTTCGTTTTTTATACATTCTCTCTGTGTGTTTCTTTCTCTTTAATTTATACTAATATAAAATATCTTGTAAAATAGATAGAAAAGAAAATTTTGTATCTTAATCTTTCGCAATAATTACGTAAAGATTCAATAGCGTCGTAGCACATGGCCCAGGAAAAGAAAAGTCAGGCAGTGTCTGTCTGTACGCGTGGCCGCTCATGAATCGGATGACTGTAACATCGAGGAAAGTCCGGAAGGCACGAGTCGTCTAAATATAATCCATCCTTACCCTCTTTATACTCAGCACGGTACGATACGTTATGGTATGGTGCGGTACGGTGCGGTGTGGTGCGGTACAACGCGGCGCCCTGATATTGGGGATTCTCTTCTTCTTCTTCTTCTTCTTCTTCTTCTTCTTCTTCTTCTTCTTCTTCTCTTTCACTCTATTTCTCTCTTTCTCTTTCTCTTTCTCGTTTTCTTTAGTCTATATAATAAAGTGTCAGAATGATTCGAAAATCTTGAAAGATATGAACCATGCAATTGCGATTAATTTCAATGCAATTAAAAATGACGTTTGGGACGGATTAGGGACGGTTTTGTTGCTTGCTTGCCTTATGTACAAATTCATCTAAGTATTTCTTTTTTTAAAAATAGTATATCCGTATCGTAGCCCTACATCCGTAAATCGCTTTAGAGAAAGAAAGTTCCTCTAAATATAAATATAGCCCATTGGTAGAAACGAACCGTCTCAAAGTGTTCGCTTGCTTACGCGAGAGAACGTTCAAGTTTCTTAGCTTTATTGGACGAAATAAAGAAATATTGCGACATACAATAAGAAATTGCACTCTCTAGTAAAGATGATAAAAAAGTGCGCTTAAAGTTTTCTATAGTTTCAACATATTATAACAATATTCTAAGATGACCTAAATTTCGTTTAAGAATTACGTGAGTTGACTTGGAAAGTTTTTAATCCTCCCAAAAATGAACATTTGTTTTTTTGTTTGAAATAAAATTATTTTTGTATTAGGATCGAAAGCTGTAGTCTAACAACAACAACAACAACAACGTACAACAAAATTAGATAAATTATAAATGATCTCGTTCTTCCTTTCTAATATTACGAAATTGATCGTGTTTCTTTGGACGTTCCAATTTGTTATCTATTCGTTCTTTTTAGCTTTTTTTTCTGAATAATTGTACATGAAAGAATTGAGAATACTCGGCGTCAAAGGCGTTGGTAGTCGGTGGTAGGAGTGGTGTCTTCGAGTGGATGCTCAATTAGGACCCTCGCGAAGACATTTATCCGCAGGCAGGCAAGGCAAGGCAAGGCAAGGCAAGGCAAAGCAAGGAAGGCAGGCAGACATCCACAGGGCAATTATTGCCTTTCCCCAGTGGCTCCGTTTCTATCCTATTCTCAACGGTATATGCCTATTACGTAGTAAATATGTATGTATATGTAGAACGAAGCCGGTCTTCCGCGTCGAAGAACCGAACTCGCTCGTTTAAATCATTTCCACCCGCTTTTCTGAGTGATCTTCGAATCTCGATGAGCCGTAAACTTTCTTTTTTAACAGGAATTTCATTTTATTCTTAAATACTTTTTTTTCTCTTCGATAGTCATCGTCATTATCATGATCATCATCATCATGATCATCATCATCATGATCATCGTCGTCGTCATTGTCATCGTAGTTGTCGTTGTAATCGTAGGCGTACCAACAGTCGGCATCTTGCACCGGGTACGCGTCGGCGTATGAAAGGAAAAGGAAAAATGCGACTTGCTGATTTATGCGCAATTCTTCTTTTCCCTATTTCTCTCTCTCTCTTTTATTTCTTCTTTCACTCACAATCTTCTCTCCTTCTTCTTACTTTCAGCCGGTCCGCTGGGAGAAGCTAAGACGTTACCATAAGGGGACATCTCTGACCATCTTTGGATCTCGAATCCGCTCTCTTTCTTTTCCCAACTGGTTACAACTCGACCCTCTCGTATCTTACCATCTTCTTTCCTCTCTTTCTCGGTCACTCACTTTCTCATATCCTTGCATCCTTCGTGAAACCGAGACTGCTATTTTTAATTGACTCGTAATATGGAGAATCAAAAATGTTCATTCCATTTTCTTCTTCTTATACTCCTCTTTCTTCTTACCTCACCCTATTGGAACGTATCTTATATACACCACAACCACCACCACCACAACTTTCTCGGGTTTTGATTTATGCGAAAGATAAAAGATCGTCGATATCATCAAAAGCAAAAGTAAAGAGAAGATTGTGAAGACTTCTTTTCGAGTCATCTCACGATCTTCTCGTTATCAGAATTCACTTCATGCTCTTTTCCTCTTCCCTTTACGAGTTTCTCTACCTCGATTCGCTTTTCTCGTTCGCGTGAGAGATCTCGATAGAAGAGAACGAAGAGCAAGCAAGTAAGCAAGCAAGTTTGCCAACTGAGTTTGGGGGGGGGAGGCAGAGGCAAAGGAAAGTGGGGTGAAGAAAGAGAGAGAGAGAGAAGAAGTAAGAGGAGGAAATGGTAGAGAGAGAGAGAGAGAGGTTAAATAAAAAGGCCGAAGACGTCGATCGGCGCGAGCCAATGTACTCGAAAGACACAGAAGGAACGCATTAAAAAGATCGCGCCATAGCCATTTACGGCTGTCATCTCGCGAAGATACTTCGTGTATACAAAAGAGAGAGAGAGAGAGAGAGAGAGGGACAAAAAGAAAAGGAGGAAAAAGAGGGAGGTGAAGTAGAAGTCCATCTTGAGAAGTTGCAAGCCGATACCGAGAGTGCTCGTTACGGAGATGTAACGCCAATACGATAAAGACCCCTAAGAATCACTTACGATAATATATCAAAAGGAAATCCATTTTCTAGTTGCTTTTTTTCTTTTCTACCAAATAATCACGAAACGAAATTTGAACAATAGCATACAAAAATATTCTAACACACAAATATCTTATTATTAAATATTATTTACATACTATTATTATATATATAATTTAATTCAATAGAATATCAACGATTTATTTGAAAACACGGACAGAGACCAATACGCGTACGGAAATATTCTGTAACACTTAACGTATACCACCGAGTAAACCTATATAGAGATACACATACGTGGTGTATATGTTTAGATAGGGACGCTCGCGCGCGCGAGCATGTATACAAGAGACGTGTGTATATAGTTGCGTTATAGAAGCCCAATGAGCACAGTCCTGGCTTACCTAGCTGTTGCGCGCGAGCGCAGAGCACCCGGGAGGATATCATCGGGTGAGTCATCTCTCGTTCCCTCCCTTTACTCTTTGCGTGCGTCCACACTTTCTTTACCAACATAACGAAGAGAGAAAGAGGGTCGGTGGTGGTATCGGTACGTCGACGTTTCTACTCCCCTCCCCCTTCCATCTCACCCTTTCTCTCTTACTTTTCCTCTTCCTCCTCTTATTCGTTGTGTCGCGTCGTCATCATCGTGGCCCGTGCAAGCACGCTCCGTTTTCTGGGTAAAAGCCGACACCGACATGGAAACAAAAGAGAACTCTTTCTCTCTCTCGCTAGCTCATTCTCTCTTTTTATCCACCTCTTTCTTCGTGGTATCTACTAGGAGCGCGCGCGTGCTGTTGAGTACAAGGTGGTAGTACCACACCACTGCCCATGACCACCGTGGTCACGTTTCGTAGAAGCTTCTTTCCAAAGGAGAGAGAGAGAGAGTGTCCCTTTGTGTTATAAGACCACACCGAGTATGAGTTTCAAACGTAATTCTACTATAAAGGTATTGCTTACTAAAGCTATCGCTGATATATTCGGATAGCAATCGTTTGAAATAGATCTCATGTTATTTCTCTTGAACTCTTATTGTACCGATTCTCTTTTCTTATTCGAATCAACGTAATTAGTCGAATTTTGTAGGTGAGCGACCGAGAAAGTGCTTAGGCTTCGTGCTTATGTTTTATGTATGCATGAATGTATGTATGCGTGTGTGTGTGTGTGTATGTTGTACATATGTAGTACCTGTTGCCCGTCCCTATATTTGTACCATCGTTCGTAGCCATTGTTGACACGTCGATAACGATACGATCTTTAGCGTGCAAATATATCGTATTTGTGAAGTGGAAATACCGTACCAGGGACCACACCATAAGAGGAAAAAAACTGACGTGTTTTCTTTTATTTTGTTTAGCAAGCGATTCGATAACATAAAAAAGAAACGTTTTCTCGATAAACCTTTTCCTTTTCCATTTAGACTAAAAGAGAGTCTATATGTATAAGGTAAATACAAAATATTATCAAAAGTCGATTCGAAAAGAGACTCGTTTCCTGTGTCAATGTCACAGATTGGGTTCACCGCTCCAGACGAGAATACAATTCGCATAGGCTCGCATTCGGTACACGCTTCATCGCGCGCGTTAACGTCAACTCCGTTTCGCTCGACGTTCCAGAATAATTATTCTACTTCATGAATATGGATTACAGGGGAGAGATATGACTTCATCGGTAGCTATAATGGTTTCTACAGGGAAATATCGTAGATCCATTTATATATATATGGAATAAACATAATTATTGCATAAGAGGGTTGCTGCTTCTCAATATCCAATTAATTTTCGTGAAAGACAAATTTCCAGCCCTTTTTAACTGAAGTATGCATATTTGTGTGTATTAAATGGAATGTAATGATAGGTTTCCTATGAATTATCTACGTGCAAGTGACAAAGTTGATGCATACAATTTGTACTTTTGTTTTTGTATTTTCCAGCCTTTCATGATCGATCATAAAGCTTTGCTTTTGTGTGTTGCGCAGGTCGAGAACGTAAACTTGTGCGTTGGAGCGCTCCGAGCGCTGGGGGCAGACGTGGGGGCAGTGAATCCTGGAGAACTAGCAGCAGGATCAACCCTTTGGCCGGTCCTCGCCCTGTTATTCGCCCTCTCGCGCTACAAGCAAAGAGCGAAACAACTGCAGGATATGCCTAGGTAAATTCGTCAACTGTTTCACTTTCTAGTCGGTAACGTAGAAATCTTATTTATTGTATCACGAAAGTTTTTGCAATACCGACGCATATCGTCGATATGGAAGAACTCTTTCATATTGATGATATTTTATTAACGACCGCTAGCAGAAATCCTATCTTATCGACACTTCAACATAATATAGTAAAAATGATCGAATAGTACAGTACTTATAAGAAAAAGTCTAATGACGTGAACAAAATGAAAAAAGAATTTGTAATTTTAAAATAGAATTTTTTTAAAATTTATATATCGATAGGATGACCGGTTATAAAAATGATGAGATAAATTATTATCTATAAAGTTTCTAATCTCTAAATTTACAACCCGACAGCATATCTCTTTTACACATATTCTTGTACGTTATGACTCTAACTTATGCTATACTTGGAAAATAGTAATTTTTTTTTTAAGAATACATAAGGATAGAAATGAGCTTTTACATTAAGAAAAAGGAATTCTAAATAGATTATTTCGTTTAATCTCCCGCAATGAAAGAGAATCACGTTGGAGTTTGCACGATAATTTAAACGAGTCCTAAACGAATAGAAAGTGGATCGAAGATAGGAGAACTCTTGTGTCGTTCTCTTATAACAGTCCTCCTTTCCTAGTTTCCAAGATATAAGCATGTTCAAGGATCTTGTCTCCTCTAATTATGAACAAATTAAATAATCCCGGAGCTTTACTTTTTTTTTCAAATGAAAGACCCAAAGGATCAAAGACACTCAGTTCATTGCCGTGTTCGTTTCCATCGAACAAAGACAAAGAACTTGGCGACCTTTTGCCAGAGTTAATTTTTATAGATTCGTTGTAGACAAAGAGGGGGCGGTAAGGGGTCACCCACGCAACCATGTAAAAGAAAGAGAGCGAAAGAGAGCGAAAGAGGAGAGAAAGAGAGAGAGAGACAGACAGGCAGAAAGAAGAGACCTTCAAGATGAGGAAGCCAAAGAACTTCTTAATGCTCTAAACTAGGCATTATTTAGAAATTCGACTTGTTCATTCGTAGAAGCAAATCAATTTACTCTCTTCCCTTCTCTCTCTCTCTCTCTCTCTCTCTCTCTCTTTCTCTGTTGGAGTAATTTACAAGGAAAGATAGGTAACGTTTCTGCAAACGAATCTTGAAGTATACCAGCTTTCAAAAGATCTTGTCGTAAGCTTTCCTTTTCTATCGCAACAGCAGATCGATACTCGCAAAGGTTTCTTTGGTTTAACGACCAAGCGCGCGCGAGCGGAGTGCTCATTAACGCTCGCGTTAATCGACCCGTGTGCTTCTCGTTCGCACGTATTAAAACGTATGTACGCATTCTTATAATAAAGTGCGTGCGTGCGAAGCATGGCATAGCATAACATTCCTTCTCGAAATAACGAGTTTTCAAAACGAGGTATTTCACCTTATTTCTCTCCCTGGAGCGATTTACGCATTTTATGTCAAAATCAATACACACCTATGTATATACTTTACTAACACATATGTGGATAAGGATATACATACGGATATAGATGAAACGAGATTTATTCGAAACGTGCCAAATGGTTCTGTTCAATCGGCAAGCAAACATTTGGATGTGAACAATCAGCAGCTAGGTGTAGAATGATAAAGAAAGAGAGAGAGAGAGTAGTTGGGCTACGATGAGTGATATTGCAAACGGTTTTACCTAAAAGGTAAACATTCTAAACATTCGGCGACAAGTCGCGACGATTGCCAAGAGGAGGAAATCCTGCGAATGAAGTAGAAAATATCTCTCGCATGAGGTACGCCCACGCTCGTAATAATAGTCTTCTACTTCTCCTTCTCCTCTTTCTCTTCCACCGGGACGGGGAAAAAGGAAGGAAGATCACATGCGCATGCGCCTAAGCGAAGGAGCGGTTTGTTAGCATAAAAATGGCTTTAAAATTGCCACAGCAGGGCAATATCGAAAGCACGAGGGAAAGGGACATGGTTTGAGAGGTGCTACTGACCGAAGGAGGACGAAGGAGGACGAAGAAGTACGAAGCGATCAGAAGGGCAGAAGGCTGGAGGAGTGAACCCACTGATCACCACTGAAATTCAACGGATTGAGCCAAGGAAATGGGGATTCGGTTAGAAAAGGTAGGATGTATAGATAAAGCTACTAGAGAGAAGAAGACGAAGAAGAGAAAAAGAAGAAAAGGAGAGAAAAGTTGGTGCATTGGAAGCATGCAGCAATAGTAACAGCAGCAGCAACAGCAGCAGCACCAAAGGTTGACCGATGCTGCAAACCGAAGGAGAGAAAGAGAGAGAGAGGGAGCTACGGTCGCAGGAGAGAGGATGCAGGATAGCGGAACTAGCATAAAGGGGGATGGTGGGGAAGCTCGATGAAGCTCGAGCGGGAGAGAGAGAAAGACCCGGTCAAGAGAGAGAGAGAAGCCACGTGCTACGGGGGAACGGGAATGGTGTTCTCTCGGGCCTCAGTTTGAAACGGGCCATCAACGATGCCTACGCACCATGGCCGCACCATAAGCAATTGTACACAGTCCTACTATTCCTGCTTTCGATAACGTTTCGTTTCCCGTTTTTATACTTAACTTTTAAACGAATTATATTTTTTTCTTCGTTAACCACGCGAAAATGTTCGGTAGTTGGCGAGAAATAATACCTCGTTATCGTCATCGTCGAATTATCGCGATCATTGTGAATACTCGGTTAAATAGATAAGAAAATTTGTTGATCATTTAAACGAGATGCATTCATCATACTGGAACGTTCTTTTGCTAAAGATTAAACGAAAGCAAAGTAGTTCGATACTTTTTCAATTGTCCGATTGCAATGGAGCAGCATCGAGTGTGAAGTGAACACATATAGTGTGCTGCAACTGTTACTACTACTACTACTGCTGCTACTGCTGTTGCTGCTACCTGGCTAATTCTCGTATCATTATATTTGTTCGATCACGTTCTTCTTACGCACCATTGAAGAAATCGTAGTCGTTACTTTATCGTCGTCTCTAAACCTTTTGCGAATGTTTTTAACCGCCTTTGATTTCGAGACTCGATCGATCGTTCGATCTATGATCGATGTCCTCGCGATCATTCGCTTTGTCCACGAAGAATCGTAGCATTAGGTGATAAAACGTGTCCCGAGGCAGGCATCCTTTCGATAATGGGTAACAGTGGAAGCAGCAGTAACAGCAGAAAGGCACGAAGCTTGCCGAACTCGCCGGAAGCTCACAGGTATTTTATCCTTTTACATTTTCGCGCGTTCCCATCACAGAATCCTCGCGAATTCGAAGAAAAACTTAGAAAATATATATAATCTATGTAGGTACATATGTATATATATAGATCGGTGCATATGTATGCAATGCAATATGACCGTCATTTCTTTCGAATATCAATGCAATCCTATCCTAACGAGCGTTCTCATTTGTCGTTCGTTGTGTCCTTTCCTTCCATAAACTTTCGACTATTACAATAGTAACGGTACGACTAAAAACCTACTAGAAATAACAGCTGCGTTCGATGATATGATTATAATGTGAATGTCCTTTAAAAGTTGAACAACGTGCAGCTGTTGATCGAAACTATTTAACTCTTGGCTTCCCTTCTACTCCAAGCTCTTTTTTTCTTATGAGTTTATACGATATAACATAGGATGACATTTTTCGTTTGTGTTTAATTTATTCCTATATGACTGCTACTCCATACTTCCTTTCATCATTAGACGTATATTGTTTCTTTGTTGTATCCACTGTTCAAGAATATATTATTTTACCTTGTGAGGTACATAGAATTGTATAATTTGACGGTCACGGAATAATATTCTTTTCATTCGCAAATATCTTCATACATACATATATATAATCGGTAATTATGATAATAGACCAAGATAAAAAAAAATTCAGGGAATTAATTCTATAATCAATATTATAATATAAATAATTATAATACAAAATAAAATCTATTATTTCATTACAACTGTAATATTTATAAACACATAACACAATCGAGCGTTAAATGCAAATAATCCGAGTACGCTCACGTTCATGGTTTCTATATTTCTCCGCATGAAAAAATATCGAAATTTAGTATTTAATATTCCAATTCTTTGTTACTCACTGCTAGCATCCAAAGACAGCTCTTTTATGAGAGACAGTTGGTGATTGTAAGGGGTTGCTGCATGGTGGTGAGGTAAGGGACGCGCGGGCGTAGGCGCGTAATAATCGAGCTACGCAAAGTCCCTCTGCTACGATCTATATTGAGAAGGAAAACCAGATCCCTTTCTTCCTTCCTCTTTCATTCGTTTGCTCACTTGCTCACTTGCTCAACTCTTGTTGGAGGGCCTCGAGAGGACCGGTTAGACCTTGGCCGTTGTCGTCGTCGTCGTCTTCGTCGTCGTTGTCGTCTTCATCGTCATCGTCGTCGTCGGCGTCATCGTCATTGAAACACGTTCGAACTCGTTTAACATGCTTTTCAAATCTTTTAAAACGAACTCCTATCAGCAACATTCCTGTACACACACACACACACACGTGAACTCATCCTACGTTATTCTTTTCAAATCTTTTTTGTTCAGGGATTTTTTCTTTTCCCTTAATATTTGATTTTTTCTTCTTTTGCTTAGCAATCGTCATGACCTGTCGTGCGTCATAAGAAATTCTCAACATGCTCCGATTGTAGGATTTCTATAGGTCGACCTATCGAACCCCCCTACGAAATTCTCAATTACGATGACGAGCACCGATTTGAATGCTCGGCATGTCAGTTACGTTGGCACGAGTTGTTTCGTATCAATCTAGTCTCGTTTAAAATTCCAAACGTTGAAGAGTGAGATGAAAGAAAAGAGGGAAAAGAAATTTCAAATGAAAAATTGGCGAACAGCGAGTAGTAATGGTAATAACACTACGTTTTGTAATCTTCCGCACGATTTGTTGGCTGAATAGCGTGTCGAGATAATAGAAAAGAAGATGAAGAAGATAAAAAAAAAAGAAAAGTAAAGTAAAAGAAAAAGAAGAAAGAAAAATAAAATAAAATAATTTGTACTATAACGCAACACGCACAGAAGTTTCTCAATTAAAAGAATATTAAATTGAATCAATATAAACGCGTGTTTGTGTTGGAACGTAAGAGTGAAGTCGACAAGCGTAAGAAGGAATGAATCTTTTTCTCCCCTTTCGTCGCCTTTCGTGTCATCCTCGAACAACTTTTTGTCACTGGAGGCCACTCGATTTCACTGATTTATGCCCGGGATTTGTGCGATTATTTCACGCTACTCTTCTCTTTCTTTCTTTCTTTCTTTCTTTCTTTCTTTCTTTCTTTCTTTCACTCTCTCTTTCTCTTTCTCTGTGAACGTCAGCGCTTCTCTTTATTTAGCGTGCGAGTTCAAAGACATCACCGACTCCGAGAGTGACTCAATGTTTTCGATGTGAATGGTCGCAGAAATAGATCCTTCGCAGAAAAAGAAAGACAGAGAGAGAAAAACTCATACGAATGAAAAAGAGTTTAGAAAGAAAGAAAGAAGAAGGAAAGAGAAAAAGAGAGAAGAGATATCTCTCTTCCTTCAAGATCGCACGTTTTAACTGTTGCGTATTGAATTCATTTATAATCGAGTAACACTCATTCGGGATTTGCCCAACGAGTAATCGAGAACATCTTCTACTATTTCAAAACAAATCTTCCATTATATTTTTTTTTTGTAATGAATCTTGAACGTAAAACATTTTTTCTTTTCTCTCTATCTTATTTCTTCTTCGCATTTTTTTCCAAGCTAATTATCCCCATTAGACAAAACTTGGAGGATAATAGAAATGTTAATATAAGCAATAATGATGCAGTAATTTACTTTTTTTTTTACCTGTTGTAATATTCTTTTCGAATAATATTTTGTAAAGCTACAAAACGTATTATAAGGAATGTAGGAGCACGGAAAGAGAAAGAGAAGGAAAAGAGAGAGAAATGAACGTGAGCATATTGCCTTGGGGTTCTTTTAAATTAAAACGCATCGAGAACGGTAGTAGGACATTACGACATTGCGAACAAATTCTTTCAACTTCTCGACAAAGGGAAAATTTCATTTGGAAACATTTTCACGATCGTCCCTTTTTATTTCTTTTATTAAATTAAAAATTGAACAAAATGATATGCAATTAAAATGAAAATTAATCGTGCATCATCATCATCATCATCATCATCATCTTCAAGGAAGCAATTCATAGAATGAAGTTATATAAAGTGAGTTATATTCTAATTAAATTGGAGCACGATGTTTTGTATGTTGAACGTTTATACACCAACGATGATGGCCCCTAAGAAATAACGTTGTCCATTATGAACATTTGAATATAATGAACATATTTAGCTTTCGAGATGATGAATAAAAAAAAGAAGAAAGAAAGCATTCGTTCTAATTTCGAGTAGACTCGATGTAATAAAAAGAAGTAGATAATTAAATGGAGAACAAAGAACAATATGATCAGCCCGTTCAGGCCTGGATTCGATCGTCTTGTCGTAACAAAGTCCAACGAATAGCTTATCTGGTCCGGTTGAGGGTGAAAAACAACGACTAAGCTTCGTTATAATAGCATCATCCGGCGTAGGTAGCTAAACGGCTCGGTTTTCCTAGAAGCACTCGGTTTTTTATTTTTCTTTCAAGATTATCTAAATTTATCTCTCGAGAGCTGAAACGCAACGTGCAACACCCGCTTTCTCTCTTTATCTCTCTCTCTCTCTCTTTCTCTTAGACTCACTTCTCCTTCGTGTGCTTTCCCCGTCTTCGTCATTATCGTCTCTTCTCGTCGCAAAACTGGACTCTCGTAAAACCGGCCTTCGTTGCTGTCTCCTATCACCAGCAATTATCCCCAATATCTCGCATGGTTTACCGTTGCACCGTTCCGCACCGTGCAATTCGACGAATTAGACCGATTGAACGACTCTGCGATCGACAGGGTGTGACGATATATACGTCTCACCTTACGTAAACCTACCTTTCCTTCCAACAGATTTAGATTCAAGCTCAGATAACTCTTTTTGGATTTGGCATTGAGTACCGTGTTAACGTAAAAATGTGTCTATCTTTTAATAAAATTTTCTAATAGAAATAAGGGAATTGTTGCATGAATTGAACTGGTTAATTCAAGAAAGAAAAAACATTTGTATGAATCCACAGGGGTTATGGTGGTCCTCGATGTATTCGAGTAGAAAGAATGCGCAAGGTGTGTCCCTGTTACGAATGTTTCCTCGTCGACTACGTGGGTGTCCAATATGCGTTAGCTTTTCATGGTGGCTCGTAAATTAGGCTCACGCTTAAAGCGAGAAATAAGAATGGAAGTTTGGTGTCAAGAACGTACTTGTTCCAAGAGATATGTGAGATGAGTCTCGGGGTGCCGAATGTGTAATCGCTACAAGTGCCCACAAAAAAGAACAAAAAAAAATACATCACTAAAAATATAACTTTATTTATAAATTTTGAAGAAGAACCAATTGTAAAATGTATTTATTTTCTTGTTCAATTTCTATGTATTAGATTACCATCACCGTACAACAAACAATCGGGTGTCGGTGGTTGTGCTGGGGTTGGTCCAGGGAGTGCCACGAGCATACCCTTACCTGCTACGGTGGCTGCAACGAGACGATGTCCTCCAGACAAAGTAAGACCAGTTCCAACACCCACGCATCAGTCTCCTCTCGGTAAGTTTATCTATGTATGTTTATCTAACTTTCCTTTTTTTGTGCACTCTTATCTTGTCTATCACCCTCTATAACATCGCCATACAATGGGGATCATTATTCACGAGAGTCGGAATTATTCTCGGGTTTTTTTTCTCTTTTTTTTTCGAAAATCCACTTTCGACTAAATAACGAGAACGCGATATAGGATTCCCGATGAGAGAAGAGGGTTAAAACAAAGGCACGTTAGCGCGTTGCCACTTGACTGGTCAGCCGCAAGAAGAGCACCTTAAATATCATCGAGCTTGAAGCAGTAACGGCATGGGTACGGCAAGGTGAAAGCCTGCTATAAAATAAAAGGCACCAGGAAAGCCGCAGAGTAAGAAAGAGAGATAAAGATAGAAAGGAGGGGGTAAAGAAGAGGGAGAAGGTAGAGAAAAAGGGAAGAAGACCAACGAGATCATATTTTCTTTCTTTTTCTTCCCTCCTCTTTTTATTTTTCGTCGACCCTTCTTCATCCTATTCGCGCAAGCTGCTTTTAATGGAAAGTCATTAGCAGCTGACTCCATCCAACGGTTACTACGGGCGAGAGATATCGTTCGAGCATGCTCTCTTGATGTTGACGGCCCGTCTGGTTGCTTCTCTGACTCGTCTCTTCCGTCAACAGGCTTCTCGTTTCACGATATTCTCTCTTTCTCTTTCCCCTTTCTCTCTCTTGACTAGCATGTTCATCTCTATCATCTCTTTTGCATTAACTGTCAATCCATAGAACAGATCTTCATGGATGTTCAAATGAAACGCAATTTTTCATGATCCTACTATCAATTTTCCGTCTATCAAGGGGTTCAAGAACAAAATCGTTTATCTCGATAGCGTTAATTAGATATCGTATATTTATTAAGTTAGCAAAAGTTAGCAGAGTTAAGGAGAAACCTACTAACCATGGAACCTACGAATGGCTTTTAGCAACCCCTTGCGCATTTCTGGCTGCTGCAGACAAACGTCCGGACCACCATGGAAACCGGAGCTATAGGGAGTTTACGGGGATACGCAAGAGAGATTCGTCCTCTTCTTTAAATATATGGACTCTCACGTACTCCGATCGTTTCGCGACTAGTAGCCTGCTGCACGTGCTATATTTTGTGTGTATCTGCGCGCGCGCGCGCGTGCACGCACGCTTACGTTTGCGTTCCCCCATCTCGACGCGTTGCGTTGCTTAGCCCACACGCACTGGAGATATTACCTACATCCATTGTGTAGGTGAACGAACGTTCGTAGGTAGTTGGTACTCGCAGGAGAGAGAGAAATGGGGTGCCACCCCATACTTTATACTTTACCCTCGACTCCCACGTTTCCAGGGCACCCATGGCCAGATGTGCAGGCCGATTTACAGTGGTACTCAATTCTCTCTCTTCTCTCTCTCTGTCTAATTCATATCCATGATAAATCGATTAGTTCCAGATCATTAATCGTATAATAACCGATAAGGATGAACTCGTCTTTAAGATGCATGTATTAAACCAGGGATCTATTCCTCATTGTTCAAGCTAGAAACAGGGAATATACGATGAAATCATAACACCCACGAATTCCCTGATCTTTTGTTTACGTGGTTGAGCGTCTCTATGAGAGCCAAAGCTTTAAGGGGATGCGGCCGTAGCTCTATCAAAGTGCGCGTGCCTAGCCCCTTCCAAGAGAACTCTGGATACGGTAAAACGGAGAATGCGTTTGCTTCGAAATAGACCCGCGGCCTTTCTAGCTAGAGAATATAATAGAGAGAAGCGCACGCGCGCGCGGATACCTCGGTTACCCGTCGATTGCTGCTGCACCTCGTGTACCTCATTTCCTACATATACGGATTATTTCAGCAACCATATTTTTTTGTCCTCATCTTCTACTGCTTCCTCTTTTTCCTTTCATCTACTTTTCTTTACAACTTTGCTGAACATATTTCCTAGCTTGTCAATGAATCTCTCTAATATGTGAAGTAATTTTTGAAAAATGATCTATGCCGTAGGTTTTGAAAAAAAAAAAAAAGAAAAAGAAACATTCGTATTGGACTTCAAAAGAAAGTAACTTTGGCCAAGCCTGTAATATAAAATAACCCTTTAACCCCCAGCCAACGCACATCGTTCCGGATTCGAAAGTAAACTATTGGTTGACCTCGAAACAGAACACGCAACGGACAGCTAAGATAGGATCTCCTTTGAGGAGTGTTAAAGAAAAAGTCGGGTCCTGAAGACCGAATGCAAACTCATCACATGACAGCCGTTTATTTTAATCAATCTGACGCCGAACATAAATACATATATTTACTCTTGTACCGTGGCGTAAAGACATACATGCGTGATTTATATTTTTACCAAAAATCATTAGAATCGTTTTATTTTCGAATAAATTTTCAATCAGAGATTAGATAGAATGTTATTGATGAGGTATAAATCATTTTTATCTCGTAAGATATTACGAGAACGAGATACACTGCTCTTTGATGCTGATCAAAACTTTTCATCCATGAACCACAACCACCATTTGAGTTAGCCCGTATATGTAGATGTGAATATACGTGAATGGAGAAAAAGAAAAAAAGAAAGAGAAGAAAGAAAGATCGGGTTTGGTAGAGATTCGTTGTGATCTCACCTTAAGCTCAGTAATCCTATAGGAATCTACTCTGAAGAAAGAAACGCCAAGGGGAGAAAATGTGCTAGCGTATCCGTCCGCGATATAAACTGTCTTTCTTTGGTTCCTTCTTTCCGTGCAAACGGAGCATGGTGAAAAAGAAAAAGATAAAAAGAAAATCAAGAAATAGGAAAGAAAGAAGGCCAAGAAAGACAACGAGAGAAAATTCAAGTCGTGAAATCACGAACGCGGGCACACGTAAGACTCGCAACCGGTCTTTAACCCCAAAAAGCGAACGAGAAATATCAGTGATTCTCACCTCCTGTGATAAAACACTACCCGCAATTTAGAAAGAAATAAGAAACGAATAAAATGTTTCTATTCTCTCATTTTTATTAAATCTGAATATACTATTGCAAACTTTAATAATTGACAATAAAACTCGTATGAGACCGATGATGATCATAAGACATGATTTTGATCATAAGACAATTTGAAAATAACATTATTTTCGTACAATATATATTTTGAAATAAAATTAAATGAAAATCGAACAAATTGACGTGATTGATCTTTTCAATCGATATTCCATTATCATCGATTTGATATAAAAACGATAAAGAACCACTGACCGAATGTTCAGCGACCCTTAAATCTTGCTCTCTCTTCCTCCCTCGTTTTCTTCAAACACGCGCACAAATATACATATATACATACACACACAAACACATAGAACTATTCTTTTTCTCTCGGGGTGTTCCTTTCTCTCTTCCTTTCTCCCTTTTTCATATAGGTTAAAAATACTACCCTACACTAATTTTTCCTCTACCGGTTTGGTGCTACAGGTTTCGAGAATCTTACTGGCGATGATTCGTTCTCGCTGGGCGTGCTAAGGAAAAAAAAAAGAAAAGGAAGTACTCGCGACACGAGAAGAGAGAGAAAAGTCAGGGTCGAAGTAACTTTTAGCGCGAAATACGGACCGGTTGCCTTGGTTTTACAGGATGATTCAAAAATACTGCATAAATATCGTCTATATATATTATTAGCTTTACCTTTCCTTTTCACGATTCTAAAAGTTCAAAAGTTCAGTTTCATCTTTTTCCTTTGATCGATATATCAATAAGATCATCATAAAGATGTAATTGTTAAAAAATGATTATTTTTGTTTGGATTTTAACGACAGTATAAAAAAATATTGAAAATAAATCTGTCTCTTTCATTGATATTATAATAATAATAATAATTGAATAACAATAATGCAATTATACGTCTGCAGATTATATCAAATTCACGCTTCAATATGTGAATGCATGTATACGTTATTAAATAGCAGCAAGTCTCCGACATTGAAGTTCGTATTCGTATAGTGCAATGGTATAAAACGGCTGGTGATGGTATGGTGATGATGGTGGTGGTACATCGTCGTTGATACCGAGGACATCGAGACCGCATATGCAATGTAATTTGTGTCTTTAGAAAAGCGCTTTCCACCCCGTCTACCACCCTCGACGCTACGCTTCTTTGTCCAACTATCACGCGTTGAAATATCATCGTCGCACTACTACGTATCGAAGGGTCGCGTAAAGGATAAACAAGTGAAAGAGAAAGGGAGAGACAAGATGCTCGAAAAAAAAAACAGAGAGAGAAATTCAGCCGTGTCTATGGAAATTTTATTCACTATAGAATCCTTAATCTATCTATCTCATTCTATACTATATTTTTCCTGAGTCAAGAGTAAGAAGAATAGGCAGAGAATCATCTGCTCGTTATCTCTACAGAATTAGAAAATTTTTTTTCAATTGCACGAGAAAATTTGTACCGCTTAAAATGTCTCGATTGAAATTTTAATTTATTCATAAATGTTTCTCAAAAAAAGATTCTTGGTAATTTCAAAATGCTTTTTCTTTTTTCCGTTCAATCCAATAGAATGCAAATTGCAAGTTGTTTGTGTATAAAGTAAAATTATCTAGAACACGGTAAAAATTTAATTTTCGTAAAGAGGGAAAAATCATAATGAGAATGTCTAATTTGTAAATGAAAGTCAAAAGGGTGAGGAGGCAGGGAAGGGGGGGGGTCCGTTCGAAATGGTTGAATGAATTGTAAAGAGTCTTTGAAAAGGTCCAGGAGATGAAATACGCGGGGTATCAGTCAACTCGCGGTCGTCGTCGATCGGTTTGGATTTGGAACGTAGGCAGAGCATGCGCGTAATACTTCCGCATTTCTTTTCAACCTGGGACTCCTGTGTATATATACCTGCCGCCTATATACAGTAAATATATGTATAATACGTTCATAGCTATGCTTAATCCCGTTGGCCGAGATGTACCCTAGTCGCGACACGCGCACCTACACATTTCCGCTTTTTAAGGACACACCATGTCGTCTCTTTGGTTATAACGAACTCCTCTCATGCGCTCCTCGTGCTAGGATAAACGAGCCGTCAGAAATTATAAAGTCAGTTTCTTCGCGACGCGACACGCGAGCACAGGTGTGCGCCGAGAAGAAGAACTATTCACCCGTTTAAATATCTACACGAATCTAACTTCAATTTCTTTTTTTTCTTTTCCACTTACTTTTACTCGTCTTCGTCATCTTGCTTTCTTTCTTACTTTCTTTACTTTTCATTTTTTTTTCTTATAATCAAATGTGATGATAACGGTTATTATTATTATTTTATAATTACGTCATTGTTATTAGTAAACAAAACATTAATGATAAGTGCCATCACGCATATATTATATATATAAATCTCAAGTACGTAATTTTAATCAAATATTATCACATTAGATAGATAATATGCATATGCACACGCAAATAAAGCTTATTATTATTCTTTATTTTCATTTATATAATATATTATCTTATTTTATTTTATGCTAAGCTAATACAATATATTTGTATAATTAATTCATTCATTATATAATTTTTTTTCTTCTCTTCCAAAAGAATAATAATACGTACTGAAAAAAAAGGAAAAAAACATAACATGTAGCGAGTAATATAACCCAAGAGAAGAAAAATATGTGTACCAAAGTTTTAATGAATATTTTTCCCTATCAACATTAATCCGTGTAATTTGCGAGTTCGTGACCCTCTTCACATCGGTGTCTCGACCCAAACGGATCTTAAAGTTCTATCCTTTGCGGGTCCGTAACTATTTAATTAAGTAAGCAAACAAAGCGACCGCTTTTCTTCATGCTTTCCATCATGGATAAGATTGCGGACAGGTGGAGATTTTATCGGAGTTACTTTGGTACGTGTAAATAAATACGTATACGCATGGGAGTAGGCAAGAATTTTGATATATCATAATATACACGCATACATCTTCCTCTTCTTCTACATATATATCTATCTATATGGTATAAAATATATTTGCTAGACGGACAAGAGTGTTGAACAGCGGAAAATGTAGACGCGAAGAGAAAATAACGGTCGCCTCACGAGGTGAGGGCCAAAAAGAACTGACTGAAATATCCCTTTCCTCGTCTTTTCCTCTTGGCATCCCTTTTCGTGTCCCTTTCTATCTCTTTCTTTCTCTTGTCCATATAATACCTACATGCTCTTAGTCTCTATCTCTTTATCTTTTTTCTTTATACATGCGTGTACTGTTGATCTCTCTCTCTCTCTCTCTCTCTCTCTCTCTCTCTCTCTCTCTNTCTCTCTCTCTCTCTCTCTCTCTCTCTCTCTCTCTCTCTCTCTCTCTCTTCCATTTCGTTTTCCATCGGCTTTTTTCCACCCTCTCACTTGCTTGCTCGGTCGCATCGAGACACACAGGTACTCTCCTAGCAGCGTCGTTCTGCGATTCGCGTCGAGGGCCTTCGCGTGGTTTTTACACGGCTTATAGACGTATCGTGCTTGGCTTTCGTCGACGTCGACGACAACTACAAGGAAAAACACGAGCAACCAACGTGTGCTCCCTCTTTCTCTTTCTCTCAAGAGAGAGAGAGAGAGAGAGAGAGAAGCAAAGCTTTCGCGATTTCCTCCGTCATCGTCAAATTTCCAAGCAGTCGTTCACTGAACGTCAACTCGTTCATGATCCCGTGGGAAAAAAGGAAATGTTTTGCGTACGATTCGTACGAGAGAGAAACGTTCGCGAGGGTGGTGGTGGTGGTGGTGGTGGTGGTGGTGGTGGTGATGGTGGAACGACAACGACGATGACGAAGACGCTGGCAACGGTTCGCTTTCTTCCTCAACAACACGAACTCAAGCCCGGTGAGCTAGTACTACTACCTCTACATATGTATATATGCTTGTCTTTTCCTTCTAACAACCGAGGGCCTTCTTGTCTTGTATACCCACCACTAAATTCTTTTTCCTTCCCTTTCTTTCTTTCTTTCCTATTTGTTTTTTTCCTTCAGACTCAAGGAGTCTCTTTGACATCGTTGTCATTATACTGAAATAGGTATCATCAAGATAACTAAAGGACTAATCATGAATGAACAAGTTCTTTGTTTTTTTTTTGTCAAACATATGTTTTATTGTATTCTTCTTTTATTAAATGATTAAATATTCGTAAACATATCTAAAAAAAAAAAGAAAAATACTAACTCAGAATTATTGTAATCTTCTTAATATTTTCTATCGTAAAAAAAAGGATCAACCATACTTTGTTCCTTCCTTCCTTCCTCTTGGAAAGAGGATATGGGATGGATTAGATTGAGCTAATCCTTCGAAACAAGTTTGAGTATGTCAACGTAAGAAATGAGAAAGAAGGGAAAAACAGATAGCAAGAAGATGCTCAACGGATGTGTTCGACTGTGTTCGATGGGTGAGTCACGATCGTCAATGTGACACCCTTCAGGACTCTGCTTCGAATCCCTTGGGAGAAAATGAGAGAGAGATAGAAAGAGATAGAGAAAGAGAGAGAGAGGCGAGAAACGGACGCTTTGTCGAGACAACCCTCGTGCTAATTCCTATTGACGGCCGCACGTGCGTGAGCTCCTCTGACAATGAAAGGAAAGAAAAAACGCATCTGACCGAGCCCACATCGAAATTAAATTGATTTTTTGAAGAAGAGCAAACCGACCAACAAAGGCTGGACCTATTTTACTCAACTTTGCGATAAAAAAGAATACTTGTTTCTTTTTTTTTTTTTCTAACATAAGAGGATTATATCAATTTATATACCTCGATACATTAGGTTGGTCAATATCTTCGTAGAATTTTTTCTAAGTAAATAAAACAATTGAAACTTATTGGCCAACCTAATGCATTGAGGTGTATATATATATATATTGATTTATTGATTAACTTTGTACATGAGTTGGTTGACAAATTTTCAACATAACATAGAAATCATTTTTATATAATTTTGTTGTTGAGAGTTTAGGTCTTTGAAAAGAAATTTAATTGGGTGCCCGATAGGTTAATGTAAACATCGAAACGAATATTTATGGTTAGTATTATCGAAGATAACCGATAATAAGTTGTTCCTCGAAAAAAAGGGTCTTAGTCATCGAGTTATCGAGTCGTTGTCCAAACTGTAGAGAATATGTAATGTGCTTGTCTGTTACGTACCCGTTGAAACGAGAAATAGAGTATAAGGGCTCTTCTAATTCCTTGATACCGGTTCGTTGTAGGATAATCGTACTAGGGAGAAAATACTTAGCAAGTCGCTGGTAACGTGACTCCTCGGTTCAACGTTTGTTAAAACTGATAAGATGGACACGTATGTCTCCTTGTGATAACGAAAACAGTAGGGAGTCTTGTAGACAATTTGTACGAGAATGTTTAATATCATTTTAAAAATATATTCATAAGAAAGACGTGCACGTGCACACTTTCAATGATATCCATTAATATACAATAATTAATATTTTATAATATAGTTGATAAAAATCAATTGTTTTGCTACGAATCTTTTTAATTGTTAACGAATATAATAGACATTTCGTTTGTTGAAAGAAAATTCGAAAAAAAATAATTACACACACTCGGTTGGAGTAATTCGTTTCCCTTATCGAGTGCTTCTCAAATATACCATTCGACAGTAAAGGGTTCGCGAAACTAACTCCGTGCCTAATGCGCTTTACGGTTTCTTATGAGGATCACGGTCAAGCGGCATGTTACGTGGATGAGATCATGCGTATGTTTTGAACTTCCAGGAAAAAGTCATATGCGTATGCATCACTTATAAATTTATTTGAACAAAAAAAGTAAATTTCAAATCTTTTTTTTTTTTCATTTTTCTTGATCTTTTTCATACCTTTTTTTACGCTAGAACTCATATAACGAAAACTAAGCAACTTTGTGGAAAATTGAGAAGCAAGATGGAAGAGCACGGTCAGCAAGTAAACGTCTTGATAAAGCAGAAACTATTTTCGCGCTATTATTACGCTCGAGTGTTCCTCAAATAGAAAAGGCTCGTTAAATTACGATTTCATATCGTAAGGTTTGCAATCGGTCGATTAGCTAAATCCATGGTTAATATTACTCATTGCTGATGCCACCTCCTGCTTGACGCTGCTGTTTATTATTTCGCTTTACGCTTACTCCGCTCAATTTGGAGTTTTATAACGGGATGGAAAGTTTATAATAACGGTCGGCCAGAATGTTTACTATCGAAGAAAATCTCATCGCGATAGACATACATCCCCCTCCCCCTCACCTACCCTTTTTCCCCCTTCGAACGATCGATAACGTTTGAAATATCTGCATGCGCGGCCGATGGTACCTATCTACGAGCATATATAAATATGAACCGCTGAGGTTTATTTCGTCTACCCGAGAGTTACCATCGAGAATTACATACAAAACAACCGGACAAGCCTTGTAAAACGACCTCGAACGATCTGTTCGACACGATTTTAAATAATCAAAGTTTTATAGTCGTCTATATTACTTATTATTCTTATCATTATTTTATACAAAAATGATAATTTAAATAAGTTATATTCGAAGAATACAATTACATCAATTGTGTGTGCGTATCAAAATGAGTACTTGGCTAAGAAGTTATTGTCGTTTTATCGAATCATAAAACAGAGGAAAAAGTTAGGTCGCGCCAATTATCGTGTAAATTAATTACGCGCCAAGACTAAACTGGATAACACTGGCAGAGATTTTTTATAGTTAAGTTTTATAGGCAAGAAATAATACTTACGTATTACAAAGAAAAAAAATATATGAATTGTTGTTATAAGGATTGTTCATTTTTCAGGAGGTCTGAAGCAAGGGAATGGTGGCGTGGGGAGTGCAAGCAGTTCGAGGAGTACCAGTCCAAGTCAACAACAGACAACCCAGACCGGTCTGTCCTTCATTCCACAGCCCAGAAGTCAAAACACGAATCGACAAGGCACTGGCGGCACCCCAAGGTAATAATGTATAGAATTATAACGTATAGAAATATAACAAATAAAACGTATAGAATTAAGTGATTACAATACATCTAAACATCTCATTTTCAGTCCTAGAACGTCAGCCGTGGGCAGACCGAGTGGTATTAGGACAACAACACAAGCATGTCCGTATTCCAGTAGCGGAAGCTCCACAGGGCAAAACAAAAACTCTGTTCTAGACAAGTTCAAGCTCTTCAACAACAAAGATAAAAATCAAGAGAGAGGAAAGGCCACGTCGGGCGTATCGAAGCGTACGTCGAGCTCGTCCGGTTTTTCCTCGGCACGCTCGGAACACTCGGACAGTTCTACGTCGCTCTGCGATCAGAGTAAGATCCAAGTTGAACCACCGAAGAGTCGGGTATTGAAGTCTAAATTACAATCGAGTAAGCAGACGACAAAACAAGCCAGTCCGAAGACGATTAGGAAGGAACAGAATAAAACGCAGAGTAGTAAGATCGCTCGTACGAAAGCGTCGATACCGGAGAAGTTGACGGGTTATAGTAATTTGCCGGTAGACGATGTCAAGAAGGAAAGTGGCAAAATCGCGAACGTCTGTGCTAAACTACCCATGGACAAGAAGACCTCGAACTTGCAGGATTTATTGAAAAATCATTCGTCTACGCAATCACAAAAAACAAACAATCCAACGGTGGTGACAACGCCGTCCAAACAAATCAGCCAACAAGAAAGTAAAAATATTTCTAACTCTAGTAGGAATGAATTACCGATCAAACAGACAACGCCTCGACCGAAGATGGAGCTTCCTGGGAAAATAACAGATCCAAAAGTTCATTTACAGGCACTCAAGGTACCTCCCAACGGAGTCAACAAGGATATGCTCATGCAGAAGAATTTGTTGCCAAACGCAAACGGAATCATATCACGAACGGATCAGGAAGATGCAAACGTTACAAATATGCGAAACAATCCTAGTCCGTTCGATCGACATACGCAGTGTATGAACCAAGCAAATCTTCCGTACGAAAGGATAGTTGAAAAGGAAATGGACATTAACGTTGGTGAGTCGAATATGGAAGATCGAAAGCAGGACTCTTCGATCTCGGAAACTTTATCCGGTTCTCCATGGAAAATGCAAAACGCGACGACTCACGAAGAAGAGAAGATAATTAAGGACTCCCCGGAGGTGGAGGAAGAAGAGGAAGAGGATGTGAAAATAAACGGTTTGCCTGTTTCAAATGAGTCGACACCTGGCTCGTCTCGAGATGATCCGAGAGGGCGATCCAACTCGGAGAACAAAGATTTGACGGTCAAGGACGAAAGCATGAATTCTGAACCACCTACTAGTCAAGTACAAAATACGAACGTTCATGTACACGTATTCCCGCAAGGAAAGCAAATACTAGGTGGTCCATTTCAAGGACCAACATTATCCGTTACCGGTCCATGTTCTAGTATTCCTAAACCAACTGCTTTAGTGAAGGGTACTTCTAAACCACCTAAAGAAAATAACGGGCCAAGCATGCCGACCCCGACTAAACTCAAGGGCGAGATTTTGCATCGAGCCAAGCTCGACCCGAATACGGTCGCGATGGTATCACCGATGCCAAGTATCTCAGATCTTATGTCTGAGAGCTCTCACAGCAATTCCAATAGCACGGGCCAGAGCAATTCTAGCGACAGCAGTGTCATTTATCGACCAAGCAGCGAAAGTGGTAGTGAAATAAAGACGATACCTAATCGAAAGATAGACACGACCTTCGAACAAATGGAAAAGGTACTTTAGCGTTATTAATCCTGATCGTCGAACGCAAATTCTCTCACGGCAATAATTGATAAAACTTCTCTTTCTCTTCTCCCTATCAACCTCCCTCCCTCCCTTCCTTGGTACTACTATCTCCTCTTCTCTCCTCTCTGTGTCTCGACAGGTTTTATCTGAAGGTTCAACGTGCGGCAGCGGGAGCGGCGGCGGTGGTGGAGGTTCGTTGGCCGACGACGAAGCCGAGATGACCGTGAAGCCTATGCAACCTCTTCTTCGTGGTTACACGCCTGGTGCCAGAGCTCTGCAGACCCTGCCGAGTAGAACGACGGCGCGACAATACACGATTCTTCATTCCTCCTCTCATCATCACGTCTCTCACGATTACGCGGACATTGACATAGCCTCGGGTTATCTCAGCGACGGCGAAGTTCTCCGAGGTGGTATGAGCGTCGGGAGTAGGACTCTCTCCGATCTTTGCGACGGTTACATGTCGGAAGGTGGTGCTTCCTTGTACGCGCGTAGGATCAATCCCGCATACGGTCACGATCGCGAGAGGTAAGCGAACAACAAGAAAGAAAGAAAAGAAAAGAAAGAGAAATCYCTAACTTCTATGAGACCATCTATTATCTTCTATTCCATCGCAATCGGGTTGCCACTTTTCATGCTCCTTTAGCGCACTACATCTTTTAGGAAAATCAAATAATACGTCTAGTCTTGACCGAACACGATCTCCATTTACCTCGGACGGATTGCATCTCGTTATATCTCGCTTGGTCGTGCGCGCGGGCGCATCTTACGGATACGGAGAATGAGTCACGCTCTCCTCACGTCAGAGAGAAAGAGAAAGAGAGAGCTAAAGCAAGAGAGAGAGAGAGAGGACTTTAAATGTTTAAATCGTCGCTTTTGTCGAGAGAGCACGCTTACTCCACTTCCTCCTTTTCGTCTTATTCTTCTACTCTTCTCTACACTTCTGCTCTTCTAACGTCGAAGAGAGATCGCTCGGACGCGTACTAATGGCCTTTAATTAGACGAAATTTTCACTACTAATTTTATACACGCGTTAGTTACGCTCCGAGCAAGCTTCTCTCTCTCTCTCTCTCTCTCTCTTTCTTCCTTAGAAAAAAAAGGAAGAAAAAAAAAATAAAAGAAAGAAGGTAAAACTGACGTGTTCGTAAACGTACGAATCACTCGGGGGAGACGAAGAAACGACATCCTTTGATCTCATACACGTGATGTTATATACCTATTACTTCCTCTGGTGATATATCCGTGCTAGACTTCTGTTGTCGATGAAGAAGTAAAAGAAGAAGAAGAGGAAAAAGAAAAAGAAATAAAAGAAGAGAAAGAAGACGAGGAAGAAGAAGAAGAAGAAGAAGAAGAAGAAGAAGAAGAGAAAGGGACAAGAATTCCAAGGACAATAGCACCGTAGAATTCTATGCAATCGAGAAGGTCTCTCGTCGAATAATTCCTTCGAGTAGTGATAGAGAGGAAGAAGAATGAGAGTTTGAGAAACACGAAAACGATATCGCGTATCTCTCGTGTCTACTTGAACGCTTTTCGTTGTCTATCTATCTCTATCTTTGCTTCTTTTCTCTCTCTCTCTCTCTCTCTCTCTCTCTCTCTCTCTCTCTCTCTTTCTCCGAAGAAAGAGAAAAGCCAAATCTCGTGAAGGATGAGAAAGTACATATTTATCTACGGAGCATAAAGTCGGTGAAAAGCGCTTGCGCTCAAAGCATATCCGTGCGTGAGTTTCACAAGCGTGCGATCGATCGACCGGCAGCACTGTCAGTGGCGCGATCTGCCGGTAAAATAGTTCAAACTCATGGTGGATTGTCGAGGGCAGCACCGTCGCAGGACGGTGAGCCTGTTTTCTTCGGGGGTTGTTCTCTCTCGTGGAAGAGAGTCGTGAAACGGGAGCTACCGCAGCCGTCGTTGTCGACTTTGTCGTCCTTGTCCTTATCGTCGTGAACGACCACGAACGTGCGTGCGTGTAATCCTGTAAAATAAACACACAATTTTTCATTAAGAAAAAATTCATTTAAACAAGGGGAATTATTATTTGTTTTATTTCTTCTCGCATCTTTCTTTCTCATTCTCTCTGTCTTCTTTTACACACACACACACACACATATATATATATATATATATATGAACGCACACAAATTTTGTATACATGAAACCTAATTTGTCAGGATTTTTCACACCCCGTCTGTCAAAAATGTCACTTACACTCGATCAGCTTACGATCTTGTTCTCATTTAAATACTAACAACATTCCGTGCGCGTTCTGTGACCGGAAAGAACGTGTCTGTCTCGAAATAAAAGAGAAAGTGGATAATAGGGGGTGGTGCTCGGGGTGGTGGGGGTGGTGGTGAGAGAACAATCTCGAGGATAGCAGACGTCTCTTGCGGCACGCCTTCCTCAGGAGTGACGGTAAATTTTCAACGATTCCCATTCCTTACGAGAACCAATCGATTACAAAATTCCCTTTAACGCAGTTACGCTTAGTCGAGTTTTTAAACACAATTGCAATATACATTTGTACACACGTTTTAACACACCACGACCCATCGACATATCTTGTTTCCTTTCCTCCCTTTCTTCGCCTTCTTACTTTCACCGGGCGTTTCGCTAACGCAGCATACTCTGCGTCAATATTTTTTCTTCGTCTACAAGAACCAACCAACTTCGATCCATCAACACGACCCTATCGATTTTTTCCGATGAATTTTATTTATCGAACTAAAACTTCAGCCTTCTCGAATTTCGGTCGTCGTGTTAGTAGTCGTCTTCGTTGCCGAAGGCTTTTTTTCACTTTTTTGGCTAGGCAAGATTCAAGAAAATAAAAAGATACCCCCGGATGCCTTTCAGATCGACGTCGCATAGTTTTCCCTTAGCCAACTTATGTTTTTTTTCTTTCCCTCTTTCTTATATACGTTCCTTTCTCTCGTCCTTTATTCCTTCCCTCTGAGTTACTTCAGTATTACTACGAACACATTACAACTCTTGTACTTACGTTGTGCATATTTATCGATCAAGCTTTTGTCACGTCTCTCTCTTCCTGTCTTTTTATTTTTTTGTTCCTTTCTAACTTTCCTACGATTCCGTTCTAATTTATAATTTTCAATACTCTTCAATACCTTTTGTCTGGCCTAGAAACTCTCTTTATCTATCTGTGGTATCTTTTTCTCTCACTCGATGACAACTTTGAGCATTCTCCAAAGCAAATAATTCTAAAAGCCTCGAATACTGTCATCGATAAACTTGTCGACGTAAACGTTATTGGTGAACGTCGACGAGAGTTTGAAAAGTTAACACTTTTGACAAAAACAATTTTAAAGGCTGACAAATTTCGTCTAACCTTGAACATGTATATTTAAAGATTTGGCTTTGAAATATCACGTATGTGACAATTACATGCATCGATGATTCATCGATATTTATTTTTAAAGGGACCCAACTAACAAAAGCTTTCAAATTATTGTTAAGAAAATAAGACACTAACTTTGTTCTTTTTTATAAATAATATTCTCGAAATAAAACACTTTTATTATCTTAATTTTTTCCCGTATCACGATAAGTTCTTACAATTCTTGATTTATGTATGTACGATCACGCGTGAGTCGGAGAAACGAGCAATAATGAATTTTTAACGAGAACCATTCTTCGATCGTATTCGATCGTCGTGAATAGAACACAACATTTCCTTTGGTATTCTTTTAAAAGATACAAGTAGCACCCTGTAGTGTATTTCGAGTGGTTCTTATGTATAGTACATGCAAATTAATACAATTTTGTCGGTTTTGATATACATGTATACAAGAAGTATATATCAAAACTATATACATATTGTAATATACTATATATGTATACTATATATATACTATATAATATACTATATATATACGCGTGTACAACAGGTATAAGCACTATGACTTATAGTTTCCACTTAAATGGCTTCGCCGTAGCATCTAATGATCGACGTATTTCCCTCGGCTATTATATATGTATCTATTTTCTCGAATATGCAAACTTGACTACGCAGCAAGAAGAGTTGTTGTTTACTCGGAAACCTTGTTAAGAAGTTTAACTGACGTAGTATACTTAAGCAAGAGTGTGTACCGTCTTTCCTATCGTCAAAAGACGCCATCTTTCTAAACAAAAATTACGTTTAAATAGCACTCCACAAAGATCAACAGTAACAGAAGAAATCTTGATATAAATTATAAAATAAAAACGATGATAGATATGTTCGAAACGCAGAAGAGTTCAAATAGAACAGACGACGGACGACTACTATATCACTAATAATATCTTACGCGACTTATCGGAAAGCGATAAAACGGGATGATAAAAGAGAGGGTTTGTATGTATATGTGTTCTCTGTCAGGTACGTAGGTGGCTCGCGACGAGAATTGTCCGGGGTTAAGGAACTGGTGAGCTCACGGAGGGTGCAGAAAAGACCGTCGGCGAACGCTGTAAGATCGGATGGGGCTGGAGGAGGCTGCATCGTTGGTGGTGCTGTCGGTGGAGGTAACCTCGTTGGAGGAGCAGGAGCCCTGTTAGGTGCTTGCAGTGGTGGCAGCGACGCTTTGGCCGAACTCACCATCGAGGAGCTGGCCTCAATTCCGGCCGGAAATCACACCTCCGCCAATCACACGGGTCATTCCACTCATCACAAGGTCAGCGAACCTCCAACCTCCGCGACCTCCCTCTTCCTTCTTCCTCCTTCCTCCTTCCCCAGAGTACGAGCATCGTACCGATCGATATCTACTACCACCGAGATGCAACCAGTCCGCTAACAATCCTCAAAAATCATCCAGACTCTCCGAATCCTTTCGATACTAACTTATCTATAACAACTCTTTGAACCTTCATGTTGCGCCTAATAACTATTACTAGGCCTAATGATTTCGAGGAAAAAAATCTAACGTAAGAATACAGTAGAAAAAGGGGCCGAAAGAAAAAAGAAAAAAAGGGAAAAGAAAAATCGGTGTACGCGTCGCGACTCTGATGTGAGTTATGCAGCCGGGTCACGACAGCGGCTCGTCGTCGAATGAAATCGATATTTGCCAGGCGATATCATAATCGTCCTACCCGCCTTTTTCTTGTTTTCTAGTTAGAGATATACATACATACACACGTACATTTGGTTTTTCTTCATTTTTCTATTTTCTTCGTTTTTCTTTAGAATAATGTTCTTTTCTTTTTCTTTCTCTTTTCAAACATGCATACGGTGGTAACACGAGAGGAAAGTTTTCGTGCTGGTCGACGATTTCTTTCAGCGTCAGCTTGTGTAATAAAACGTGGTAGTAGTATTTGACGTCAGGTACGGTTAGAAGTGCCGGTATCGTAAGCGTAAACGCGATCATAGTGGGGGTTTCAGAAAAAAGGGGGTGGCGAGCGATGAATCGTCGAGCGTGCGCTCGCTCGCGCGCGCGCTCTCTCTCTCTCTCTGCCGTCCACGTTCTCGGGCAGTTAGGTTGAAACGTTGCTCCCGTACGCGTGTACGCGCATGCCGAACTCGAGAACCCGTGTGAGTCATTCATTTTTCAAACCCAAAATTTCACACGGTACATAGACGCATATATATTTAAAGAAGTATCTCTATTTCGTTCAACCTCAAAGACCTATAATTATATTGTCCTTTTTTGTTTCGTTTGATCGAACATCCGACCGACACTGAACACTATGCAATAACACTTTCGTCGTGAACGAGTATAACAAAGAATACGAAAGACGTTTACGAACGTTCCAGACGATACGACGCCACTTTCATTGCCAATTCAGGGATCCCCCTCGAGACAATAAACCGTCAGGCAAACGAGTACTTTGCTATAATAATTGTTAAAATCATTGGAAATTATCCTTACGGCTATTGTCGGTCAGCTATGCTGAGAAAGTAGCAATAGGAGACCATCGGAGAAAGATCATGGTGAGTTCGTTTGTCATTGTAATTATTGTTCAAAAGTTCTTTTTCTTTTTTTAATAATTAAGATTTTATCCAACACAATGTACGCGACGATGTTACATAGGAAATAAAAAAGTTTCTAATGAATTTCTTGAAGAAAAATAAAGTACGTGTCGTGTCCTAACGTTGAGAATGTCAAAAAATAAATCTCAAGATCCGTAAAATCCAGGTGGAAAGTTGAAGAGGGTTCGTGCTAGAACCGTCGTCGCCGCAAACTCTGACGCGACCGCGTTTCTTACGACTGTAAAGTGTTCTTCGTTTATTTTCACATCAGTGCTAGGGACGTAGTTCAAAGGTACTCGTCGTCTTGCGTTTATTGTTTCTCGGTCATCACGGGAGCCCATAAGATCGGTTTGGTTGCATACCACATAGCGACTATAGACGTTGAACGAAATTTAAACTTCTGTGTTATTCGAAAGAATTACTATGTACACGACGTCTTTTTATTTTATTTTGATTATGAAACAAAAAATTACGAACAATACTGCGATGGCCTAAAATGGAAGAGATAAACGATCTTTAAAAACTTGTCATTTACATTTAGATTTACATTTATTACATTTGAGTTAAACGGATTATTGCATAAATATATTCATTTAGTGTCCTAATCTACCCTATCTATGTCACGTGAGTCATTCTGACTCGTGGATTCACCTAAAGCCAGTTAGCAAAAGCGAAACGTAGTTAGGAGTAAAACAGAAAGGGAGAGGGGTCTTACTGGTTCACTTGATATTGGGCTACCCCTCTGAATCACGTCGAGCCTTGTTTCGCGTATTCCCCTGAGCAATGTGTTTATCGTTATGAAGAGTAAATAATGCATGTATAGTACGTACGTACATGTGCTCGTCGCATAATCGAAACGTGTACGTACTTTAGTTTCTCTCTCTCGGCAAACTTTACATTACCACTTGAATCTAAATAAAAATCTAAATATTTAAGTAATTTGATAATAGAATAAAATAGTTGTTTGCATGTTAAATAGAAAGTGCCGGGTGGCGGTGGCGTGATCGTGGGGGGTGGCGGTAGTTCGGCCACCCCCCAAGGCGCGCAACAGAGTAACAACCTGGTATATCGTGTGGTGAGTTCGAGGCATCCCGGTAGTGGTCATCATCCTCACACGAAAAAATCCGATAGCTCCCAACAGACCGAAAGTTCGGCTTTTAAGCATCAGCAACAACAACAGGGATCCAACGGTTCGTCCAACAGTAGCTCGAATAGCCAGCAATGGAGAAAGTACATAGAAGCAGGTGCAGCGAGAGACAGAGAGAGAGACAAGGAGGGCACACCAACAAGCCCTAGTCCCTCCAGACGATCCCAGGTATACTAAAATAATAATATTCACTAATGGTTATTTGTTTGCCATCAATGTGAGATATTGCAGATTACATATCCTGTCTGTTTTTGATTTTTTGTTTTTTAGGATAAACATCGGAAACAGACCATGGCCGAATATGCGAATGGCGAGAAAGCACAAAAAGTTTCCTCGGGAACGTCAACCGGCAATAGTAGTAACAGTAGTGGCAGCAGCAATAAAGTCAGAGGAGTTCCCCAGAGTTTTGGATACGTGAAACGACACAGTGCTGGTACCAGTCCTAGTCCGAACGGTGTTCAGAATGGTAGCAAAGATGCGGCAACGAGAACAGCTCAAGTCAGTGCGGTTCCGAGAACAAAGGTGTGTATCTGGGTTGCCTCTAATTAAAAAAAATTCTAATTGATTCCAATCTTGTTACGGTTCGTATGATTTTCACAGGTTAAAGTATCCGGTGGAACTCAAACGTGCACCACAGAACTACAAGCAAATTCATCGAGTTCCAATCAAGGTCATCATTACAAAAGTTACAGTCTTACCGGACCGAGTGCTAGTCAACTATCTCAATCTGTTCGCGATCGTCTGATGCTCGGTTCACAGAGTCTTCCGAAACCAGGAAGTCCCGAATTCACAGCTCTCTTTGCCGCGGCTCATTACCGTGAAAGAGGAGCTGGTGGAGGACCCGTGAACGCCTCCTTTTCACCTCGCGTATTAAAACCCTCCGATGGAAGTCTCAGTGATACCTGTAGCAATTATGCCGCTCCTGATCTTCCAGGTTATTACACTCCTAATAGTCCTTACGCTACATCCTGGATGAGGCACAGCAATACTTATACTCCTAGTGGACGTTCGCAAGGTACATATTAAAATATTAAAACGTTTTAATCGCGGAACATAGTAAGGAATATTGATTTATACAGAAAGAGATCAATTTGGAGTATACCTAAAGTGACAAGATTTGAAAATTTAGGTTACGAGAAGTAGTTTAGCCAATATGTACTCCTTCATTACTAAAAAGAAATCAATATCCTTCTGTACTCAACGGTATTAAATTAGGTAAATTAGGATTTGCATATCGTTATCGTAATATGCATAACGCTTGTAAATGCGATGATCGATTCAATGCTTGCTCATAGGTATGGGATTATGCGAAGCCGACAGTGTAGAATCTCTAGGATCGCATAGAGCGAGCTTAACTCATGCTCGACTGCTGATGCATCAGAGGGACTCTACGGGATCACCAGCTCCGCCGAGACTGAATAGGAGTAATTCAATTAGGTGAGCAAACAATTTCTTTCTTTCTTCCTAGTCGCGTGTCATCTTTTTCTTTTGTTATCTTTTATAGTCCGATCCATATAAAGAATATTAATCGATCGTTCATGTATTTAGTTGCATGCATAGAAATTAGTAATATACAAGTGATTTAGTTAAACATCTAATCGCGTTTCGTATTATTATTATTATTATTGATAGGTTTATTTTTTTCATGAGTTATAATATAATAATCGGATCTTAGCTTTCTTCGAATTATTCAATAAATTATTGCCACGAAAGTGAATTGTTCGTTACAATGAAAAATAACGCTGAAATATTTGATACCGTTTTAGCCATCTACGGGACAGGACATTTCCAAGGTAGTGCGACTATCCAGTACATCATATACATTCGTCCGCCCTGCCTTCGGTGCATAACTTAATCCTCTCCTCATCGTGCGCGCTACTATCGTAGACACGAGTTTACAATGGTTTGACGAGAAAAATGAAAATATGTGTGCTCGTACAGAGAAAGGATTAAAAAATGCAAATTCGTACGGATCACACACGTTGGATAGATTTACGGATCGGACTACTTGCCTAAATCACTTCAAATAGCTTTCTCATTATAATTAACTAATTAAACTTATTCATCAAAAATAACATCTCTGTTTATATTTGTAAGAGTTCTAAAGAAGATATTCGTAGTGATCGATGGCAAGGGGTTCAGCTTACATAAGAGACTACACCTGCATCTAATAATGTATATATTATCTATATAGATATTCGTTAATCGTCTATCGAACGTAACACACGTCTTTCCCAAGTGCAGCGCATTATTGGCAGATTATTGTTAATCCGAGTATATTCGTCTCGTCTTTTGTATCTCGTATTTGTGCCTCTGTTCTGCGCTTTTTGTGCAAAAGCATGTATGAGCTTTTCCCGAGATCTCCATGGAAAGGTAAAAAATGAAAAGAATAAATTGATCTTGGCACACACGCGATCTATGGTACATATGTAAATAATCACGGTGGGTGGTATTTAAGTAAAAACCATTTTTATATCTAATCGCCTAGCTCCAGATGGAGGTAACACTCTTACGATTATCATTCAAGTACATATATTTTTCAGAGAAATTGTTTTCCTTATGTGCAAAGCCCGATGCTATTTAGCTATTATATGGTAACGTTGTATATATATATATATATATATATATACATATACGTAACGTAGTCAATTTTGGAGAAAGAGCTTCTTTATGTCAGCTGCATTATTCCGATCTCTTCACGAATTTCTTATTTTTCTTCCTTTTCTTTGTATTATATATATACCTTACCTCCATACGGGGGAATACGGGGCTGTACATGGGAGTATATGGGAAATACGGGGAATAAAGAGGGTGGGATCATCAGCCCTAAGTTTGGTAGAAAAGTTAATAGGTGCACGCCTTTATTTTCACAGATCCACTAAAAGCGAGAAAATGTATCCGTCAATGCTAGCACGAGGGAGCGGTACATCATCGTCTGTTGGCGAGGAAGCTGGTATCGGAATGGGTATTGTCGTGGGCGTAGAACCATACTACAGTGTCCCGGTTGGCTCAGCGGGATGCACCGGTCAACATTGGTCTCAACCAACTTCCCCAACACCAACCCATACATCTCGACAGCCACCTAATTTGTATCAACATGTACACAAAGACGATGATAGTTAGTTGTTATTTTTTATCCTTTTCATTCAATATTCTATTACGACAATTAGGACAAGACGTCTCAAGTATACTTCGCTAAACGATCTTAAATTTATCCAAATCATTAACATATAATTTCTTGAATCATTGAAAAAGAATAGCTTAACTTTTCGTTTCAGTACACGGTTCTTCCGTATCCCTCGTGTCAACAGCTAGCAGTCTTTACAGTTCGGCGGAAGAAAAACAGGCACACGAATTGAGAAAGTTACGAAGGGAATTATTGGATGCTCAAGAGAAGGTTCATTCTTTGACCAGTCAACTATCAACCAACGTGAGTATTAACAACAACTTATTACCGTGTGTGAATGTCCTTATTTATCCGTTTAGTAGCCAATAAGGGAGTATAATAACCCAATAAAGTGAAATCTATAAAACGCATCAAATTTATTATATTTTATATTAGATATGAAGGAAAATATAAATATATATATATATGTAGATATATCGTGACGCGTTAGGATTTCAGAGCTACTTTCTCGTTTCTTTATTTCGTATATACCACAAACGACCACGCTAAAACACCCACACACGTAGACTCTTCCGACGTGTGCGCTCTTATCCTCATTTTAACTCATATATACCGTTTAACAACGTGATCTATCGTATATTTTTTTTTTATTTCATCCCGGGTGGCGTGTAGTACACCAAGTTCAACGTGACTCCTTACCTCGTCCGTTACATCGGTGAAACGAGTTGCGTGCCAATACCAGCTCGAAAGTTACATATTTTTACTTCTCGCCTCGACTAATATCTCTTTCTCTAACTAGGTGTATAGTATGTCCAATCTTTCGTTCATACGTTCCTTTGTATAAACGACTTGATCAAATACTTATAAAAGTATTTGATCAAGTATGCGATAAGCGTATATATGAACGTGTGTGTTATCCATACATCATCATTAATCCCAACAATATCATACTCAATTTATTTATAATTATCAAATTTTTTTAATTACCAAATGCACCACCATTTTCAGTATACCTAGTCAAAATGACTGGTGCATAAAAAAAAAATGCTTTTTAAGACTGGAAGTCTTTATTTACTCTTAAAAAATAACAAAAAAATGTTTAACAATAATAATTTTAATAGATAAATGAATTTATAGACATTTTTAAATAACAAAACGCTTAATTATTTACAGAAATCAAATGTTACATGAAGTAGAAATTTTAAATTAAAATGGCCCGACCAGTCAAAATGACTGGTCTGGTATATCTAGTGTTAAAGGTATCCAAAATTTTATTATAAAAATTTAATTGAAAATAAAAAGAAAAAAATAGAAACTTTTAAAAGAATTCCTAATACACTTGGTACTTGTATTTAAATTCTTCAGAAATAAAAATAAATAATTTGTTTAAATAATAATAGATTGTGTAGGTACTGAAAGTAAAAAGCAATTCAAATAAATGTGTAACAAGTAAGGTATATCTCCATTCGGATGTAACTGTAGCGTGATTGGTTGACGAGTCAGTCATTTTAGAGCGTAGAAGGGAATGGGATTGACCAATGAAAAAGCCGTAGTACGATCTTCCGCCGCGCCGGCCTGAATCGTATTCGCGCCGATCGGTTTTCTTTAGTTGGTCCCGTGCGACGCGACGCGTTCCTTCTTCCTGGTGTTCGCGTTTCTTCTTTCTAGGACTATTTTCTATGTGTTTTACCTTCTATCGTGACTTTGGACGCCATCCATTCACCTCGTCGTCATTTTAACATCCTTATTTTCTATTCTTCTATTTTTATCTTTCTTTTTTTTGTTCTTTCAAAAACAAAGAAAAACAAGATTGTTCGAAGTGCAACCAACAACAACAACAACATAACACATTTTAACATTTTAGTGTTACGTGCAAAAACAGTGTGTTCTATTCACTTTTTTGTTGCTTCCTAGATCTTTATTGTGGATTAAAAACAGTGATTGAAAAAAGGAAAACAAAAAGTATTTTTGTATTTTGTATTATCGTGAAATACTAGTTCGTTCGAGTTTGTTCTATTTGAACGAATGTTATTTTATCCGCTTATCGACTTTTTTTAAAAATTTTTTTTCTTCAACCGTAATCCCCCGTTCCGTTATCGAGTGTCAAAATTGACACGATAGGTATCCTAGATAAGGTAACATATCTTTTTCCCATCGTATATTTAGGAAAAATTGGAAAGATATTTGGAATTTGAAAGGAAGATTGAGACACGACTTTTCATTTTATTTTCCTTCTTTTCTATCTTTCTTTATTTTTCATAAGATAAATGAATCATGTAGTTTTAACTGCATCTTTCTATATCGTTCTATTTCTTATCGATACGATATCGATGAAAATATAAAAGAAAATTGAACAAACATTACAACTCTCTTCGATAAGAAGAACTCGCAATCAGATAAATCTCAGCTCGCATTTCGTTAAAACTCTCTTAATTAAAAACTAATATAACTATACTTGAATATACGAAAGTTTCTCATTCGAATGATTTATTTATATTTAATGTTTATAAATTGGATGCGTGTTAGATAGAAATCTTGTTTCGTTTTCGAATAAAATGAGAGTTGTTGGTTAGTCGCGTGTGTCATTATTAGCGGTATAATTAAAAACATGTTCTTTAATTATGATCAAAATAATAACATCGAAAGAAAGTATGTATGTTGAGAGATGATTTGTCGTTTTCTCCAAGAGGATAGGAAAGAACCTCAAAGACCAACTGTAAGGGTTCTTAAGAAGGCGGTGAAAAAGAAAAAGAAGAAAAAGATGAAGGTGATGGTAAGGGATGAGGGGGCTAGACTAGACTCAGGCTACCAAGTTTTCTAGTATTCTTCGTCCACTACTATTACTACTACTACTACTACTACATCAACCTAGTCGACTGATTTTCTCGAGCACTATATCCCCAAGATTTCTCCTCTTTTTCTCATGTTTCCGTTTCTCTTCTCGTCGACACGCTCAACCGAAGCAAAGACGAAACTCCCGCAATAATCCATCACTCTGACAAACCTATATAATAATTTCTTGTCATTGAAAATGAACAATGATCTTTCGCACACTTTTTAATAATATAATAAATAAGAAGAAACAATATATCTCCCCTTTTTTTAATTCTTTTCTCATGATTATAAATTATTTACGATTATTTTTACGTAATCACAAATATTTTCATATTTAATATTACACCCTTTTTAAAATAATAATATAATAAATAATAAAAAATAAATACATATAATATTTTAATATGTAATATTGTTTAAAACTTATGTACGTAATGTGTAATTCTTTTGTTGTTCTCATTGTTAAGCCAAATATTTTTGAAGATCGATAAAGATAACTTTTGTTTGATTCTTTTTAAAACGTTTATTTCAATTATCCTTTTCTAAAGGCAACGTAATATCTAACAATTAACGCAAATATAAACCAACCGATAATTTACCTATACCTGTTTTACCGTAACCGGTCAAATAACCAGTCTTTATATTTAATACTATGAAACGTAGATAATGATCAATATCTCTTAAATCTAATATAAAAAGAAAAAACAACATATAAAATCATTTTTAGATAATAAAAAAAAAATACAAATATTTAAATGGAAAAAAAGGCAATAACACACACACACATTGAATATAAAATTTTAATTGAAATATATCAAACCAGTTGTAGATACGTTTAAATACTAAAAAAAATATTCCGTTCATTACTCATAGAAAAATATTCCTTTATCTGGAATATTATTCTCCTTGACTCTTTCGTTACGAGTCATCTTAAAAGTTTAGTTATGGTTAACATTCAATCGAAGGGATGCATACTTAGGGCCATGTGGGGACGTTTTCCTTTAGGGTAAAAGGAAAATATAAAAAGAAAGGGAAGGGGAAAGGAAGAGAGAACGAATGGAAGAAAGAGTAGGAGGGGTTTGCTTAAAAAGTAGACAAGATTTACGGCTCCGTATTTCTTATCCTTCGCTTTTAAAAATCTTCGAAAAATTGTCCCTTTTTGTCCCCCGAAGGAAAAACTTCTTTTCTCGATGCTAAAGTTAGCTTTTCTTGAATCTTTTCAGAAAAAGAGACAATCCAGAAATAGAAGCAGCTATCAGATTTTCTTGCGAAACTTTTATGCGGTTCATTTTATTTTTTTTTTTTTTTTTATATATATTATTATTATTTTTCTTCTTCACTTCCATGAGGATTCGACCCGGATCCTGTAAGAACTTCGGTGTTACGAGCACGTGTTTTCTTTCTCCTTTGTTCATCATCCTCTTAATCTTGTTGGCCGATCATTCGGTGATTGGCCCCTATCTTGTCTTCTCTCTCTTACTCGTAATCCTATCCAATTTCTTCATACGCGTTTGTCAACTATTTTCTACTATAACTTTACAGATCATTGATCAGATTATGAATACTATATAACAACAATAAAAATAAAATTTATTCTTCACAAATGTTTTCGATTTTATTTCAACACTGTATAAGAATAATCTTTCAACATTCAAAAAGTATTGAATTACATAGGTATGAAAACATTTGAAATAGAAAATATAAACTAAAAATCATTTATCATCATCTTTCGACGAGTCTTTTGATAAAGACCTTCAACATTTGTCGTAAAAATCGATTGAGATGAATTAAACGGAAAGGGCAAAAAAGTCAGTGTCACACACCCTAACTATGACGATGACGACAATGATAACTACAATACAATATGACTACAACGACGATGATGACGACATAACAATAATAATACGTAATGGCAATGATAATAAAGATTCGCCACTCGCGATGGATTTTAATTCTGGAAGGCAAACGTGCCTTGCCGCGAGCGAGCAAAGACCCTCGGAGACACAACGAAGACCCCAAGACATGATTGAACTAACTATCCAACCAATCCCGTGGTCTCCCTTATTAAAACACACGCCGTTGTTTTGCCTTTTGTCTATCCTTTTAATACCTCACATTAAACGTCCGCCTTTACTCGATTCTCTCTTCTTCATCATCTTCTCTTTTCTCTTCTCTTTAAATTGTTTCATTTTGATAATAATATTACTTACTCCCTTCGTTTATAAAACGCTTTATATAGTTCCTGTTTGTAAATTTTATCAAAATTATTTTTTAAATTAACCAATAATATTTAATAGTTTGATTTCATTAAAAATATAAAAAGAAATAAACCTATTTTAGTTGATCATTATGAAGAGTACGGATAAAATATACGCCCAAAGTCATCTCGTCGTTGATTCGATTGACCTAGTGCCTTGTAATAGCCTATTCTAGACAATAATAAGAGTAAGTTCAATTTATATTCGAGA